TACAGATACGTGAAAGATTTACAGATACGTAAAAGATTTACAGATACGTGGAAGATTCACAGATACGTGAAAGATTTACAGATACGTGAAAGATTTACAGATACGTGAAAGATTTAGATATGTAGAAGATTTACAGATACGTGGAAGATTTACAGATGCGCAAAAGATTTACTGATATGTAAAAGATTTACAGATACATGGAAGATTTACAGATACATGGAAGATTTACAGATACATGGAAGATTTACAGATACATGGAAGATTTACAGATACATAAAAGATTTACAGATACATAAAAGATTTACAGATACGTGAAAGATTTACAGATGCATGAAAGGCAAAAGCAGATTTAAAATGTATTTAAGATCATGGTGATGGTACAAACTAAGGCAAAAAGAAGTTGAGCACAGTGCAGTGAAATAACATTTCAACTTGTTTTGAGATTCAGTCAGCTGTTTAGGAGTCTGATACTTTTTAAGGAGTTCTTGAATCTGGAAGTCCTGCAAGTCCTTGACTGAGGCGTCCTGTGAAAGAGCCTGATGTATTAAACTTGTAGTTCTGATTGCAGGTGCTCTGTAACAACCCTTGTTCTTTTTTGCAGTTGTAGAAGCAGAGGAGGAGGAGGAGGAAGAGGAGGAGCTGGGAGGACTGTTTCGAGTCAGCCTCCCTCAAAAGAGCAAAAAGGTTCAGGCAAACACGCCGGACTGCTCCCGTTTTACTCCTGACACCTCCCACAACTGGGATTTGGAGGAGGTAACTTAGTTCAGTAAATCTATACCTGATGTACTGCTGAGCAGAAGAAACTTTAAGAAGACTTTTTGTTGTCTTTTTCAGATGTTAAACTCAATCAGGGATTGTTTTGTGACAGGAAAATGGGAAGAGCAACAAGATGCTTCTACTCTGCTAAAGCAGGATGGTAAGAAGAGCTGCATGTTAGAATGGAAACAGTTGAAAATCCTTGCTGTAGATTTGAAAATCAAAATAAACTAGTTTGTACAACCTCAAATTACAAAACAGAAACGATGTAGAAATGAAAATATTGCAGGGGTTCTTACTCTACCTTCTCAATAACAGGTGGCGATTTTGCCGCCTACTCAAGTGTCTGACGCTGCTTACTCTAACAATTTATATATTCTTTTCTTTTGGAGTCAATCGATGCACCGGCACACTCTAGTGGGAAAGACACAGCCTCTCAGAGACTCATTTGTAATTTCTAAAAAGTACAGACTTTAACCTACACATCAGTTTTTAAATCGTGTTGATAGGTCAAGTAAAACCCAAGTTATGATTCACGCCACATCTTTTTCTGAAAATCATCATCATATCTGGAGCGCATTAGAGCGAGAGGCTGCGGCAAAGACGGATAGACTCAGGGTCAAAACACCCCCATCACCCTCTGCTTTCACCTCCCACCCCTGCTAAACAGATAAACAACTACCCCCTCCTTTCTGACCAAGGCTTGAAGTTATTTGTCAAGCACCAAAAAATTACAGGAAGAAGAAAAAGATGCAGAAGTTGAGTGGAGTTCAACACAAAAAAGTCACAGCGAGAGCGGGAGTGAGTCATGAGGTTTGAGAGATTTGTGATTTTTAGCGTGTTTGGTTTTATAGTTAGTGTGTTTAGTAGGAATGCGCGATATAAACGGTACACGGTAGAAACGATAGAAATTTAGCCTACAATAGAGATCTGACTTCTACTGGCTAACTGCAGTAATGCTGTGACTGAAATAAAATCAGAGTTGTCAGTTTAGTCGTTACTTTTTTTTAGTTGTAAACTGTGCATAAGTGGTGTTAAAGTCTTTTCTTTGAGAGCTAAGTGGCAAAGCTACAAGCTAACTACAGCCGGCTTGCCGTAGTGTTGCCGTATTCTGACGCATGCGCTAAATGCCGTTTTCCATCAAAAGTTTTTTTGATTGTTTTTTTCCATCAAAATTTAAATTAATCGTTGGTCAGCTTTAGAGAAACACGCTCTCTGATTTGTGAAAAGAACGCTGTGTTGTGTGATTTTACTGCGAGACCCTCTGGTCAAAGCTACACTCATTTTGTGTCAGCTCTCCATTAAAGCAGAAGGAGTTGCCCACTAGAGGTTTGGAGGATGAAGTGTTTCAGTGTAAAATGCTGCTCTGTTGTTGTTCATTTCTTAAGTAAGACTGGAAACTGTTAAGAGTTAACAACATATTTTTTTGTTTAAAACATATGGCTAAAACTACATTTGATATCTTTTGCACTGTTTTGCACTACAAGAAAGAAGCCTAATACTTGATTTGTTTATTATTTAAAAACTCTCTGGAGCTAGTAGTGGAGTTTTCTTAATTCAAAATGTATGATGGCAAAAGGACACCCTATGCTTTTTTTTTTTTAGCAAGTTTTATACCAAAAACATATTGCGATATATATCGTTATCGCCACCCTTCACAATACATATCGTGATATGAATTGTATGCCATATTGCACATTCCTAGTGTTTAGTGTTTAGTTTATAGACAGTTTTAGTGTGAGTCAACAATGAGGTAATTTTTAAATGTGAGGCAGAGTTGTGAACCCAGAGGAGGATGGAACCACAGATTCAGAACCTCAGACAGAGGAGAGGATCATGAAGGAGAAAAACAGTCTGAGTCAGACAGAGAGAACTTTGTTGGTGAAGAGGGTGATTATGACTTGTTTTAGAAGAGGAAAGAGGAAAAGACCATTGAGCCCCACTAGGAGTTGAGTAGTAAGGTCTAACTCTGAGCAGGGGTGGGGGTGGTGGTGGGGGGAGGGTGTCCAGAACCCTCTGACTGGGCCAACAGAACCAAGCATCAGTTCTGAGCTCTGGAGAACAGATGAGGATGTTGACCCAGAGGGAGTACTAGTGGAGGAAAATACACCTTTTTAAAATTACCTTTAAATAAATATTTTGTCAATTAAAAAATTGGTGTGTTTTTCATTTTATTTATTTTTAACTAAAAAAATCTTAAAGCATTAAAATAAATAAAAAATGTTTAAAATTATATATTTTTATTTCAGGCCGACTGCTCTAAAAGACTGGCTTTTTTTGTGGAAATATATAAAAAAAAAAGTATTCTGAAGCAGTTGGCTATCTCAATATAAATATTTTACTAAGTGTAAAGATGGTTAAAGTTAATCAGAGCAGTCATTTAGAGTTTTGTTTGTGTTCATGACATACAATGAAAATGAAGAAGACCGTGTCCTATGAGTGCACTCGTGCTGTCTTTAGAGGAGCTGTATGGGGACTTTGAAGACCTGGAAACAGGAGTGGTCCACACAGGTCAAGCAGCGGAGCCGGGCGAGCCTGAGGTATGACCTGTGACACAACAAGACTGTTGGAGCTGCAGGATCACACAAACATCTCTGAACAATGTTTCACCTCCACAGAAACGGCTTCAGTTCAGTGCTCTACTACAGTTCTGATTAGTCGTTGTATAGATCTAGTAGAGTGCTGTATGAACGAGTACATGAGGCACAGATTGTGTTGTAAAGAGCTTTGAGTGTCTTGATCAGATTGAAAGGTGTTTTATATATAAGTACACTTTATTTTACTTGAAGCTGCAGGTGTTATGTTGCTGTCAACTGAAAGTGCCTTCTAGTTGTTGCTGGTAAACAAAGAGCCTCCTGTGATGGGCAGGATGAAGAGAAGGATGAAGAGAAGGACGAAGTCCAGGGGAAGATGAACAATGATGTTGAGGAGGTGCAGAGGAACAGGCGTTTGGAGAAGAAGCGCCGGCTGAAGGAGCGGTTTGACGCAGAGTACGATGATGGAGACGCCACGTACTTCGATGACTTGAAGGAGGAGATGCAGAAACAGGCTGAGGTGGAGTACAGTCTGTCTAACTGGTCCCAGCTTCACAGGACAGCTGTTGTTTTAATCACAGAACCATTTGTGCTTTTGTCTCCAGTTGAACAAAGCAGAGTTTGAGGGCATGGATGATGAAAGTAGAGTGCAGTACGAAGGTTTCCGGCCAGGAATGTACATCAGAGTGGAACTCTCCTCTCTACCCTGTGAATTTGTTAACAACTTTGACCCAAATTATCCCATCATCCTCGGAGGCCTGGGCTCCTCTGAAGGCAACATCGGATACCTGCAGGTATGTGGAACTTTACTGAATCACATCATGTTTGAACACAAAGTTTTTAGAAGGACAGAATAATAAAAACATTTGATTATTAGTCTAATCCTAAAATTAGGTGAGTAACTACTAATGTTTTACTGTTTTTATAAACCAAAAACTATCTGAAATGGTAAAGATGTCTGGACTCACTCTGTCCTCTGTCCTCACTCCATCTACCTCCATGTCCTCTCTAACTGCATCCATATATCTCCTCTTTGTCTTTTTCCTGGCAGCTGCATTTGTAACATCCTTCTACCAATATACCCACTGTCCCTCCTCTGGACATGTCCAAACCATCTCAGTCTGACCTCTCTAACTTTATCTCCCAGTTGTTCAAGCTGTGCTGTACCTCTGATGATCTCATTCCTAATCTTATCCAGCCTTGTCACTCCTAAGGAGAACCTCAACATCTTAATTTCTGCCACTTCCAGTTCTGTCTCCTGTCTTTTTGTCAATGTCTCTGTCTCCAGACCATACAACATAGCTGGTCTCACCACCGTCTTATAAACGTGTCCTTTGGTTGAGCAGTAGCTTCACTGAACAATTGGGTCACAGGACGATGCCTGGCCTGGCACTGTGTTTAAGTCTGTGCTTTCAGTGGGGAGGGGGCTCTTCATAGCGCATACTTCTGTATTAATGTGAAAATTTTGAAAACTGAGATGGGCACTTAACATGACCTCTCTAACTGAAATATTTGCCATTGTATCCAACATTTTTCATTCAGGTCATCTGGACATTTTTTTTTTCAGAAACATTTCACCTTCCATCCAGAAGGCTTCATCAGTCAAGGAAACGCACAACACAAAACTGATTCTTCCCCCAAACAGCTTACTCCAAAGAGGAACAAACCAGTTATGTTGGTGCTAAGATGGTGTCTTTGGCACGCCCCCTCCTGTGGTGCTGGCCCTCTTCCTCATCGACAGTCATGTCAAACTGGTTCAAAACCAACAAAGTCCATGCTCAATAATCCAGGTGTACAATCCAACAATTTTTAATCAGGTCATCTGGACAGTTTTTTTTGGCGCTGTTATCTACCATCTTAGCACCAACATAACTGGTTTGTTCCACTTTGGAGTAAGCTGTTTGGGGGAAGAATCAGTTTTGTGTTGTGTGTTTCCTTGACTGATGAAGCCTTCTGGATGGAAGGTGAAACGTTTCAGCACAAAAAAGGAAACTGTCCAGATGACCTGACTGAAAATTGTTGGATTGTATACCTGGATTATTGAGCTGTTTGTTTGCCGTTGCAGTTATTTTTGTTTTTCTTTAAATGAACTCATTGGTGGGCTGGACTTGAATCTCGCCGCCTGTTGAATGTCCCTGGTTTACTTGCATCTGCTGTTCAATTCCAGTCCAGAAAAACACTCATCTTGAAAACTACTAGCAGTCACTGCTCAAAACCCCAGTGATGGGGGACATTGGCGTACCGCTTCTTTTGTCTTAAAAATGTTTGGCAGGTAAATATTGTGGAGTTTAGTAAAATAAAAGTGCTTAGTGTATATGTAGCTGATGTTTTTCTTAGTTCATATCTTAGATCTTATTACTGTTTTTCTTATACATTTTATTGTTGGATGTAACTGGGACCCTGTGTACATAATCTCGTTCCACCACATGTACCACATGAGATGTGAGTGACAAATAAATCTCTCTGACTCTGATAAAAGGTCTCTAAGGAGATAAAATGTCATTTAAATTATTATTTTAACTTTTCAGGCTGAGGTAGTTTGCAAAGATGGACTAGTTTATTGTAGACAAACATAACAAAGCATTATGTTTTCCATCAGCTGGTCAGTGTTGAAACGTTGCTCTAATCGTTTGGGGTGGTCTGTGTGTCAGATGCGTCTGAAGAAGCACAGATGGTATGACCGGATCCTGAAGACCAGGGACCCCCTCATCTTCTCTTTAGGTTGGCGGCGCTTCCAGACCATCCCCCTCTACCACATCGAGGACCACAACGGACGCCACCGCCTGCTTAAATACACACCGCAGCACATGCACTGTGGAGCCTCCATCTGGGGTGAGACCCATCAAATGCTCACTAATTCATCTCTGATTTTACTGACTTAAAGTTCTCTACATCTGATGAACTTTTGGACCCAATCTGTTTGAACCAACCTTATAAAACAACAAATGGCTGTAATCCAGTCAACTTGAAACTTGGCTCTGGTTGAAGCTGAGTCAGGTCTACTCACTGCATCTATCTTTGCTTAAAACTTTAGCATTATCTACTGGTGTCAGCCCTGATTTTCTGTTAGCAAAATATCTCCTGAACCATTGAATGAAACTTGCAGACTGGATGAACATCTACACTGCTTACCCTTTGGAGTTAAATCAGTGCAGGTGACTGCCACAGGAAACTGAAACTAGCCGAAACAAAGCAGATCTGCAGAGTTGTAACCTGGTATGGTTTTGATTGCATAAAATTTAAAATATAAATGTTTTTGAAAAGTGATTTGACTCCCGGACATGACTATGTAAAGAGATAAAAACTTAGCTGAGTATAAATTAGAGGAAAAATTTTTATATAATAGCTGAGAGTACTGCATTTTTCACCCTGTAAGTCACAGTGTTTTGCATAACGTCACCTTCTTAAAATAATTGCCTAAGTCATTTTTTTTCAAAAATGATTTTTTTGCCTAAATCATCTCTTCATGATGCTGGCCACCTCTGGTAAAATTGCCTACTTCCTCAATTAAACAGATCATGCCATTCTACCCCTTTTGTATAATTGCCTATGTCAAGAGTGTGACCTAGGCAGTTTTATTTTGCCTAAGTCACCAGACAAATTGACTTAGGCAATTTTAGAAGTTTTTCAAGATGGCGGATGATTCAAGGAGACGAAAATTATACACAGCTGCTGAAGCTATTTCCAAGATTCAGGACTCTTCCCATGTTGGTAAGTGAAGATGTTTACTATAATATACACTAGGCTATCAAAATTGCATAAAATGTGATCTTTTGTGAAAATTTTAGTTTAGGAAGCTAGCTAAAAATGCTCTGTGATAGATAGTGCCTGTGTTGCTGTATTTAGAGGCAACTTGCAGACCATTTTGGGAATCCACAATGTATCTTAATACAATTGACCTCAAAGGCAATTCATGTTTGTCAGAATAATCACAAATTTTTGAAAGGTTTGAATATTTTTTTTTCCATTTTGGTAGGAGATGCACTTGATATTGATGACACCAGTCTGTCCTCATCTACTGAGACTGACAATGAGACCATCAATAAAGAGATGATGCAGTATGTTGATAATGTTTCACCATCTGCTCCCATGGATAAAGTTAAAGATGCCAAGCAGACACATCCATACCAAGAAGAGGTGATGTCAAATGATGATGGTGATGATGTCATTCAAGATCCGGACTATACCCCAACCTGTGATGAGTCCTCTTCTTCTGAAGATGAAAACAGCTTATCTATGGTGGCAACAACTTTAGAACAGCAGAATGAGGATGTTGAATTAAAAGATGCAGGCAAAAAGAAAAGAAATAAACACCTCAGTCCAAGAACATGGAAGCAAAATAAATCCAAGCAGAAACGTCTAAAAGGAATTTCATACAAGAGCAAAAGTGGCAAAGAAATAAGTGCAAAGACTATGGGTCCTCCCTGCAACTCCAAGTTCTGTCAGCGAGTCTCAACTCGAGACTGCCAAGTCCTTACAGAAGAGCAGCGGCAGTGGGTATTTGACAAGATTTGGGCAATGAACACCTGGGAAGAACGTCGGTTATATGTCACCACTTTGGTCACAAAGACTAGCATAAAGCAAAAAAAAGTTACTGAGGGATCCCGACGCAATTCATCATTTACCTACCAACTGAAGCTTGAAGATGGAACAAGGGTTAAAGTGTGCAAGGCACTTTTTTCTTCTACAATTGGTCTCCCTGAAAGAACCATTACAAAATGGCTGGATGACCACATCAACCCTGAAAAACAAGCAGAAGTGCCATCAAAATCTGGACCCAAAAGTGGCAGGCATACAAAAGTTGAAACTGATGTCAAGGATTTCCTTAAGAACTGGTTGAGGGACCTGCCCAGTGTTGACTCACACTACTGCAGAAGCACAGCTACCTACAAAGACAAGAAGTTCCTTTACCAAGGCACAACCATCTCCCAACTACATCGTGAATATGGACAGGCAGCTGCAACTGCTGGAGTGAGAGCTGTTGGAATCCAATATTTCACAGCTGTGTTCCATGAGGAGAACTACTCCATATTTATTCCAAGAAAAGATCAGTGTGATGTTTGTGTTTCATTCAAACATGGAAATATCAGTAAGGCTGCATACGACGCACATGTCACCAAGAAGGATGAAGCAAGGCAAGAGAAATCTAGGGACAAGGATTCTGCTGATGAAGAGAAGTCCGTTTGGACAATGGACTTGCAAGCTGTGCTACTGTGTCCAAAAACCCAAGCCAGTAGCCTGTATTACAAAACAAAACTGCAGGTCCACAACTTTACCCTTTTCAACTTGAGATCAAAGGAAGGCTACTGCTATGTTTGGGATGAATCACAAGGTGACCTCTGTAGCGAGGTATTTGCACATCTTCAGTATCATCATTTTGAAGGTGTGATCAAAGGCCATCCAGACCTCAAGGAGATCATAGTGTGGAGCGACGGTTGCGGTTATCAGAATCGCAATACATGTGTAGCAAATGCATACTCTGAGCTCGCAAGGAAATATGGGGTGCTAATAACCCAGAAATACCTTCTTGCCGGTCATACACAAATGGAGTGTGACAGTATGCATAGTACTATTGAAAGAAAATTAGTTGCAGATATCTTCCCCCCAAGAGACTATGTCGTTGTACTCCAGACTGCAAGAATCAGGCCATCACCTTACTATGTGAAAGTGCTCAAGCACGATGAGTTCCTGAAGCTGAATGGATCTTACTTCTTCAGCATCAGACCAGGCAAAAAAGTTGGAGACCCGACTGTGCATGACTTGCGGGGTCTTCAGTTTAGCAGTGACGGCAAGGTCCATTTCAAGCTGTCCTTTTCAGAAGACTCTGTATGGGAAGAACTGCCACAAAGAGTGCAGGAACCAAATGGGCCAATGGCATGGATAAGTTTGTTTCCATGTGCTCTACCAATCAAAGAGAGAAAGTTCCAGGACCTCCAGTCAATGAAACCCATCATGCCTGTCGAGTGTCATCACTTCTTTGACAATTTGCCACACTAATAGGCATCAGACAAGAACCCAGCAAAGAGCTGGAAGGAGAAGTGGAAAAATGCACATGCCTCCTCAGCATTATGTTTTGTTAGTTTGTGCTGTAAAATTGCCTAGGCCACAAAGGCATGTTCAAAAATTTGCCTAAGTCATTTAATTCTGTCATGTTCCATGTTTGACTGACCTTGCTGTTTGTATGTCAAAAGACATCTGTTGTTACAACTTTTTTGATTAAAATTGTTCGTAAATATCATTTATTCAACAAATGGTTCAGTTTTTTGTGTTTCCTGAAAAATTGCAAAAAATGACTTGGGCAATTATTTTAAGAAGGTGACGATAATTTGCATGCTCTGCGACTTATAGGCCGAAGCAACGTATTTATGGATTTTTCCCATATTTTATAAACCAATTTTTGGCTGAGATATGACTTTTGATTCATTCTGACTGAAAATATTGAACACTACCATTTTCAGCCACTAGATGGCAGTTGAGTAGTAAGGCATGCCACTGTATCATGTAATGGGTAAAAGTGGCTATTAATGACACAATCAGCTTGCCATTTGCTGCCACATCATCTGCCTGGAGCAACTGTCAAATCAGCTTCATTTTGCTGCGCCGCCCCAGAGAAATACAGCTGATTTGACCACTGAAGTGTATTTAGTAAGTAAAAGTTCAACTGAGATACACTTTTACTGTAATTTTGAGCAAACAAATAATTGTTTTTAAGTGTTAATCTTGTTAAATGCTTGTTAAAGTCCTCCCGTGCACGCTTCCGCCATTTGGCAGACAATTGATTTTTGGCACAACACCGGCCCACATTTCCAAGTTTTCAGCAGTGACGCATAACAAACGTGTCAGTGGTGACGCATAATAGATGCGACGTATTTGGCAAAGCGACATAGTTATGGATTTTTCCACTTTATTAGACAAATATGGACTGATTCAACTTATAGGGCGGTGCGACATGCACAACGGAAAATATGGTAATTCCCTTCAGTCTGAGCAGGACATGTGGTGAAATTACATGGAATTGCTCATTAGTTATTTTCAAAAAGGCTTTGACTCTGTTTCTCATTACAAGATGATCCTAGTCAAAATTTGGTCATGAATCATTTCTATCTCTGACAAGTGTGTTGGAAACTGAAGCAGAGTTTGTTGGTGTCACCACCTACCTCCAGGCTTTGGTGGAGCTTTTAAATGATTGGATGGATTTATGTATTTTGTTTCTCAAGGTCCCATCACACCTCAGGGCTCTGGGTTCTTGGCTCTACAGTCAGTGGCAGAAACTAAAGTAAGTCTGAGTCACTTCTTTATCTTTGGATCATAACTGGATCATAACCTGGTTACAAAAAGGATCTGCTCACAAGTTTACAGTCTCTTGTCCTGCTGTGTCTGTAGGCTAATTTCCGCATCGCAGCCACAGGAGTTGTCCTGGATTTGGATAAATCAGTGACGATCGTGAAGAAGCTCAAACTGATCGGTTATCCTTACAAGATCTTTAAGAACACCTGCTTCGTGAAGGTCTGAACTGTGTAACTTCTGTCCTTTATTATTCAGCTGTCCATAAATAGATTGAAGTGTGATCAGTCATTCAGGTTAGAAAGACATCATCAGATTCTTACACAGAACAGAGGATTGACAAGGTATTTACCACTCCTGGTATTCTTTGAGTTACCTTTCAAATACAACTTGAATACATTTACTTCACTTTGATAGAAGAAACAGACGTACACAAACTGCTCAGGATCAATGAAGTTTACCGTTTTTTTTTTTAACTCTGTGAAACACCATTACCACAGTGAAGCACAGTGGTGGCAACATCATGCTATGGGATGTTTTAGCAGAGCGCTACATTTGTAGTGCATGTAGTTTTGAGTCTGAGCTGAGGGGGATTTGGTAGGCGGGGCACCCTCCTTGAATAATGGTAGAGGAAACTGAAGAGTTAAAAACTGGTGTGGTAGTACCCATGAGTCTTTCCTGATAGGGACCAGGAAACTGGTCAGAGTTAAAGGATGGAGCAGAAGGCAGCACCCATCATACCTGATGGAGCTGCAGCCATTTGATCCTGAAGAACAGACAGAAGTTCTAGCTCATGGAGACGTGACCCCCACTCCCCAGTAACAGAGAGGATGTCAGGGGATTCAGTTCTTTTACAGCCTCCTGCAGGTTGAAGCAGACCATGTGTGTGATGCTGTCCTGTGTGTGCAGGGCATGTTTAACTCTGTGCTGGAGGTGGCGAAGTTTGAAGGTGCCTCGGTCCGAACAGTGTCAGGGATCAGAGGTCAGATCAAGAAGGCTCTGTCAACACCACCAGGAGCTTATAGAGCCACGTTCGAAGACCGTTTGTTGATGAGCGGTAAGTGAATTTATTTATTTTCTAATATTCTTTGTATTAGTTTCTTGTCAGGCGTACCACTCATCTTAAATAAAGAGTAGGCTAGTAGAAGAAAGTTAACATCAAATAACACTGAATAACTTATTAAAAACTAAATGAAAAGCTGTAAAATGTTACTAGACTTTTTGTGACTTAGCATCTGATGAGGAATTAAAAAAAAATGATAAAGAAGTACCCTGATCATGACTTCCGGTTATGGCGGCCATGTGAGAGGACGTGTTTTCACCGCTCTGCTGTTCCTGTCAAAGAATTTCTCCAAAATTCCTTCCTTTCCAAACGAACTAAACGGCTAGTGAACGCGGGAGGTCGGAATAATGCCTAAAGCAGCAAAAGCGTCCCAAGAAGTAAGTGAAAAAGCAAAACAACAAACGCTAACGAATTACCATCTTCGAGGTGAAATGCAGAAAGCTAATGCTAGCCCATGCTCAGCTCCAATGGCTGCCGCAGACAGAGAGGAAAACCCGAAGTCTGAAAGCAGCAATGTGGACGAAATACTGTCTGTTGTTAATTCGATCCAGAAGGATTTCTCCTCTAGTTTTGACGAAGTCCTGCGCTCCATCGACAGCGTGAGAAAAGAGATAAATGACTGTATCAAGCACACATTTCTGATGCAGAGAGTGAGATGGAAACACTGCAAGCTAAAGTGGATACGCTAGAGTCCAAGAAGAAAGACTTGGAAGATAAAGTTATGGATCTGGAGGCAAGGTCGAGACAAAACAACCTGAGGCTGGTCAACCTACCGGAGGGTGCTGAAGGACAGGATCTGTGTGAATTCCTGGAGAAGTGGCTGCTGGAGACCCTAGGTGTTGGAGCGGTGGCCATGGAAAGAGCGCATCGAATTAGACCCCGGAGGGACAGCACCGCAGCGCCTCACACTTTAGTAATGAGATTTCTCAGCTACAAGGATAAACAGCTTATTGCTGTAGCATCAAGGGCTAACACTGACATTTGTTACCAGAATCAACAAGTACGGTTCTACCCAGATACTGCGGCGGGTCTGCTCCAGCTTCGGAAACAGTTTGATCCGATACGCACAGACCTGCGCAAACTGGGTTTGCGCCACGGGGTGGCTCACCCAGCCAAGCTGCTGATGACTTATCAGGACCGAACTCATGCTTTTAAAACAGCGGCGGCTGCGCGTGAGTTCCTAAAGAAGATCCAGAAGTAAACAAACGAGGAGGTAACAATGGGCTGAACACCCATACAGTTTCTTAAATTAATAATTTGTGACGTTGTATAACCTTGATGGCGCTTATGTTGGTCTGATCTACTGATATTGAAACAGCAGTGGACTATTATGAATATATTTAGTTCTGCTTAGGCATGCCAAGAGGAAGCGAGCACATACCATTTGGTGTGCACATTAATAAGTTCAAACCTGTGTGCAAACAGGTAGCGTGGAAGGTTAATTTACAGTTATATATAACGAACAGCATTGGTAGTAAAAATGTTCGTTTTGGATACTGAGTGGTTAGACTGCTCCTCACTGCATATGGGTCGGTCACACATGATAACGGGAGGTGTACTGATGGGGGAGGGAGACCCTCGGAGGTGGGACTTGGGGTGGGAGTTCAGGTTTAGGGGATATGTTGTTTGTTTTGTTTTATTGTTTAAGCTTCTCAGATGTTCAGGTTCTCACGGGGTAAACTTTTGGGTTTTTCTCCATTTCTGGTAATCTAGTTAGTCTTACATGTCGCAACCTTTAAATCTTAAAATGGTTATATGGAACTGCAGGGGCCTACGACGTTTAAAGAAGGTTAAACAAATTCTTAATAAACTGCATGATTTGGATTCCAAAAATAGTATTTCTACAAGAGACATCTTATGGAAGAGGATGAGGGGTGGGTCAGGAGGAGGTGGCGCGGTATTTCGGCATTTTCTTTTCGAGCAAGAGGAGTTATGACTTTTATTCATGAATCTGTCCCATTTCTTGTAAACAATGTAATCAAGGATAAGAAGGGTAGATATTTGATAGTTCAGGGCTCTTTACTATCTGAAAAACTTAATTTGGTTAATGTCTACGGTCCTAACACAAATGATTCAGGGTTTTTTCAGGACTTGTTCCTCTTAATTCATCGCTACAGGGGCGTCTTGTGATCGCAGGGGATTTTAACCGTACCCTTATTCCAGAAATGGATAGATCCACTAGATCAGATCTAACGCATAATAACTGTAGAACAACTATACAGATGTTTATGAAAGTTCTTAGACTGGTAGACATCTTTAGGGAACTCCATCAACAAACTAGAGCCTACTCAGCAACATTTCAGACTTACTCGCGAATATCCTGATACATGCTCAATAATCCAGGTAGAAAAATCCAAAAAAGTTCAATCTAGTCCTCTGGACATTCAAAAAACTAGAAAACAAAAAAAACAAAAAAACTAAACAAAGCAAAAAACATGTAGAAACGTTTCATCTCTCATCCGAGAGACTTCCTCAGTCTGAGGTGCTGTATTCAGCTCAGTCTCTTAAATAGCACCTTCTCAGAGTGGATCAACCAGTTTGCTGCTGACAACCAAAACCAGCTGCTCACATGGTCAAGAAGGACCATCAGCCTAACAATGGATCATTAGCACCCTGATGGCTGTTTACTATTCACAGAGGGCTGAGTGATACTAGCAATCACAGCATTGTAAGAGGGGGACAGTTGAACCCGGAGGCCTCCACCCCTGTTTAATGGACAATTTCTTTTCACAAAGATGGCCTCCTTTACTCCTCTCTCAAACCATCGTTCCTCTCTTTTTTTTTTGTTTTCTTGTTTTTTGAATGTCCAGAGGACCAGTTGGAACTTTTTTGGATTTTTCTACCTTGATTATTGAGCATGCATCAGGATATTTTGAACCACTTTGGCCAGGATTGCCTCAAACTAGTAAGAGAGTTTGAGAAAACAGCAAGGAAGAGGGCAGACTACAGGAACCACTTGCGATTCAACCTCAGATGTCGACAAAGTGGCATCATTCCCAAGAGCCTGGAACTAAAATCTTCGGTCAGCGGGCACCGGGCAAGCAAGATCCTTCAGAAGGCACAAACCCAGCTGCTGAATGAACGGGTGAGACAGACCAATTTTACTATTGAGGCCTTGAAGGCCAAAGAAGAGCACATTAAACAGAAACTAACTATGTGTCTAGGTCAGACCACACTTCAGCAAGTGCTGGACTGTACAGATCAGGCACGCTTAGCACAGCATGTCAAGTCCAAGACTCGACAACAAAACAAGTTTAACATACTAATAGCTCATCAACACCATCATTACTCCAATAACAACACATTCAGTGTAGGACAACACTCCAGTAGTCAATTACATGCCAGGGAGACAGAAAAATGGGTGAAGAATTTATCTGACAGACAGCTCACCCAGCCAGAGACAGAGATTCTTGCCAGGGGACTGAACTTTGCGGTTGCACAAAGTAGAATTCCTCTGGTGGAGATGATCACAGCCACAGAATCAGCCATCCGCAACAACAAAATGAAAGAGGGTGAAGCAGAACAGCTCAGAATCAAAGTTTCAGCCTGCCTCAGCAATGCCAAACCACCACCTTCCAACATCAGTAGAGAGGAGAGGGACGCACTCACCGCTCTTAGCAAGGACAAAAACATCATCATTCTCCCAGCAGACAAAGGAAGGTGCACAGTGATTTTGAACCAGAAAGACTATCATGAGAAAGTTATGACACTCCTTAGTGACTTAAACACTTGTGAACCTCTGAAAAGAGATCCAGGAAGTGGTTACAAGAAGAAGTTAATAGATTGCCTGAAAAATTTGGAGCAGGACAAGGCTATTGACCGTATTCTGTACCACAGACTGTACCCAGGGGAGGCCACACCTAGTCTGTATGGTTTACCTAAAATCCACAAACAAGGTGTACCTTTAAGACCAATTGTTAGCATGATTAACTTGGTCACTTACAATGTTTCCAAATATCTGGTGTCTGTACTCATCCCTTTAGTTGGCAGCTCAGAACACCACATACAGAACACCATGGACTTTGTGGATAAGGTGAGGGATGTCATCATGGAGACTGATGAAACAATGGTCTCTTTTGATGTCACATCACTCTTTACGTGCATTCCTGTTGATGATGCAGTAGAGGTGGTCAGTTTAAGATTAAAATCAGACACCACTCTGAGCAGCAGGACCACGCTTTCCACAGAACAACTGTGTCAACTCTTGAAACTGTGCCTGCAGTCAACCTACTTCACATATGGGGAGCAATATTATAGGCAGAAACATGGGTGTGCTATGGGGTCTCCAGTTTCTCCTATTGTAGCCAACCTGTACATGGAGGAGGTAGAAAAGAGCCTTGACGTCCTTTTCAGGGACACCACCAAGTCATTGGTTCAGGTATGTTGATGACACCTGGGTTAAAATTAAATCTCAGGAAGTCCAACATTTTACTGACCACATCAACTCTGTGGATAAATACATCAAGTTCACACGAGAAGATGTAAAAAATGGCAGGTTGGCTTTCTTGGACTGTGAGGTCTCAGTCTCTGATAGAGGACTTTTGCAAACCGAGGTGTACCGCAAACCCACCCACACAGACCAGTATTTGCAGTTTGACTCCCATCACCCTTTGGAGCACAAGTTAGGAGTCATCAGGACTCTGTACCACAGAGCAGACAGCGTCCCCACTAACTCGGGAGCCAGGCAGAAGGAGAAATCCTACACAAGACAGGCTCTAGAGCAATGTGGATATCCTAACTGGGCCTTCCTGAAAGCAGAGAAGAAACCCAAACAGGACTCCAGTCAGCCATCAGGTGAAAAGGAGGAACCCAGACCAGTGGTCATTCCATATGTTGACGGAGCTTCAGAGAAACTGAGACGTTTATTTTCTAAACACAACGTCCCAGTGGCTTTTAAACCCCAAAATACATTACGGCAAAGACTGGTTCATCCCAAAGATCCAGTCCCCCAGCACAAACAGAGTAATATTGTGTATGTTGTTCAGTGTCAGGAGGGTGATCAGTCTTACATCGGGGAAACTAAACAGCCACTGGCCAAAAGGATGGCCCAGCACAGAAGATCAACATCATCAGGCCAGGACTCTGCGGTCTACACTCATCTCCAGGCCAGCGGTCACTCTTTCAGGGATGAAGATGTTCACATCCTGGACAGAGAGGAACGATGGTTTGAGAGAGGAGTAAAGGAGGCCATCTTTGTGAAAAGAAACCGTCCATCATTAAACAGAGGTGGAGGCCTACGTGTTCAACTGTCCCCCTCTTACAATGCTGTTATTCATTCATTCAACCTTTATTTAGGCAGGTTAATCCCATTGAGCCTCGAGGACTTAACTTTTTTTTAGATTAGGTGGACTTGATTTCCTCATAATATGTGATTTGAGTTTAGAAGATTACCAGTAACTATCAGATTTCTATCAACAGACTCTTTTGTATTGGAAGCTCATCTTCAAACACAATTTTACTCCACACCAATTTGGAACAATACATATATATTGATCAACAGAAAATCCATTTTTAATGAGGAGTGGTTTCGTGAAGGTGTGTGGGCTGTTGCTCACTTTATGGATGCAGATGGAAACATGTTACAACATTCTGAGTTTTGTGATAAATTTCAAATATGTTGTACCCAGGCAAAATATAAACACATCATCAAAGCCTTTCCTCGTCAGCTTCAATCTGTGGTAGACAGGATTTAATACATTCCAAGATGTCCCCTCTTTTACGGACACTTTGTACTGAAGATTTTGATTTTTGTGATGCCAGATGTAATAAGAAGTTTATGCGAAGCTACTTATCCCATTATACTGGTGCACTTAAAGGCAATATATCCTGAGAAATTTCAATAAAGAACAAATTAAGAAGATTAGAACCAAATATTTATCTTTTCCCCTCTCATCCAAAATCAAATAAATGCAATTCAAAATTATAAACAAATTTATCCAACCAATGACTTTCTGAGACAAATATGTATGGATGTAGATAAGTGTGTATTCTGTGAGAAAGTAACTGAGGATTTAGATCATCTGTTTTTCACGTGACATTCTTTGATATACATTACATTTATATTTATACATACATTTTTATATACATTCTTTTTGGCAAGATCTTCATCAGTTTATCTGGGTTCATGGGGTACATTTAACAGATCTGACCATTCTTAAATTTGGTGTTTTTAATTAATGATCATAACATTGACTATGGTATAAACAATGTTCTGCTATTAGTCAAATATTATATACAGTCTGCATATATCACAGTCTGTGATGAATTAGTGTGGTCTGTAATTGTACTTCTATTGAGGGACGGCATTTAAACTGAGTGGATAAGAAAAGTACGGGAGGGCCTTGCAAAATTCAAGAAAACGCATCTTTTACAGCATAAATTACAGCGTTTTACAACGGTCACGTGTATAAAGCTGCATTCAATGCACAAAATAAACGGCGTAAATTTCTGCGTTTAGAAGGCAGGCGGAAAAAAAAGGCGTTTTGGATGGATTTACGTTGTATTTTATGGCATAATCCAAATTTTTTTGCGTGAGGAAGGTTGTAAATGTGTGTCTTGCCCAATCATCACCCCCGAACATAAAAGATGCGTAAGACTGGGCGGTGTGAGGCAGCAATGACGTCTCCTGCGCCGCTTGGAATTGCCAATTCAGATTGATTTTTGGAACACTTTCTGCAGGGGTGGGGCATGAAAACGAAAAAGCAGTTGTTACACAATGAGCAGTCTTGAAGAAGAAAATGAAAATGATTTATTTTTAATTTTATTTATGAGTCAAAAAATGCAGCTTGACTGAAATGAAAAAGCATTTCTGCTATTTCATTTTAATTTTCAAATTTGACATTTCAAAATGAATTTTGGTCACTTTTTACTGGGACATATTTTGAAAATTAAATGCTAAACATTATTTTATTTTTCATTTTAATTAATTTACACAATGAGCAGTCTTGAAGAAGAAAATGAAAATGCAGTTTGGATTATTCATTTTTAATTTTATTTATGAGTCAAAAAATGCAGCTTGATTTTGAAATGAAAAAGCAATTCTATTAATCCATTTTAGTTTGATTTATGAGCCGTAATGGCTTCCATAAAGAAGTTACAGAAATATACTACAAATCCTATTCTGAAAAATATGATTAGAATCTGGCAGGATGTTAGAAAATACCTCGTGGAGCCAAACAGCATGTCCCAATTTAGCCCAATATGGGTGTTTGGAGCTGTTTGCTCCAGTAGGGCAGATGGAACGTTTAAGCGTTGGGCATTGCAAGGCTTAAAAAGTATTGGTGACCTTTACCCATCAAATTCAGATATATTTTTGTCATTTGGAGAGTTACAAACCAAGTTCAAGCTAGAAAAAAAGGACTATTTTAAATTTCTTCAATTGAGAAGTTTTGTCAAAGCAAATTACAGTAATCTTAACAAGCCTCCCCTTACATTGCTTCAAAAATTAATAATTCGGAATAAATTAAGAAAGGGCATTATTTCAAACTTTTATAATGTGCTGATCTCTAACTTGTTAGAGAACTCAAATAAAAAGCTTATAAACTGGAATATGGACCTATCATCAAATATCAGTGAACAGGATTGGGAAAGGGCTTGCATTAAAACCCACACAATGTCCATAAATAGCCGTCTCAGAATTTTACAATTTAAATGGCTAATGCGTGTTTATGTTACACCTGTGCATTTAAATAAATACTATAATAATGTCCCAGATCTTTGTGTAACGTGAAATTCTAAAGGGACTTTAATACACTGCATGTGGGAATGCAGACAAATCAATGCGTTTTGGACAGAAGTGAAAGATATAATTGAAAAAATTCTCTCAAAGCAAATCTCACATGATCCTAAATTGTTCCTGTTAGCTTTATACCCTGAGAAGCATAACCTTAGTAATTCAGAATGTACTTTTATAGACATAAGCTCATTATCTGCAAAAAAATGTATTGCTTTGGCTTGGAAAAATGTCAGCAGACCTAGTGCCACGCAGTGGTTAAAGCAGATGCCGTCCAGTTTGCTGTTAGAAAGAATAACATATATTAGGAAATCCAAACCGTATCTTTTTGAGAGGATTTGGGGTCCTTTCATTAATTTTATTAAGGACTTAGACTTGTCAGAGGGCTTGTTTGAGTTTTGATTTGCTGGAACCTGCAGTGTGCCTTGTTGAATAGACGTGTCCATTTATATCTAATCTGGTTGTAATTTGCTTGAATACCCCTGTTTTTTGAGAAGCTATTTTTTGTTCCTATGTCTGTTTTTTCTTTCTTTGTTTTTCATTTATCTGATATGAGAAAGAATAATTACCATCATGTAATAACTAGAAAGAAAACTTGTTCAGATAGTTACATGATTGTATTTCCAAAGTGGAAAATCTCAATAAAAACATTTGGGTTAAAAAAACAAAGAAGTACCTTTCAAAGTAACAAAGTAACTTTCAAACCATGCTGCTGTAGTGGATGCAGCATGGTCATGGATCAACCAGTTTGCTGGTGACAACCAAAACCAGCTGCTCACATGGACAAGAAGGACCATCAGCCTAACAATGGATTATTAGCACACTGATGGCTGTTTACTATTCACAGAGGGCTGAGTGATACTAGCACTAACAGCATTGTAAGAGGGGGACAGTTGAACCCGGAGGCCTCCACCCCTGTTTAATGATGAACAATTTCTTTTCACAAAGATGGCCTCCTTTACTCCTCTCTCAAACCATTGTTCCTCTCTATCAAGAATGTGAACATCTTCATCCCTGAAAGAGTGACAGCTGGCCTGGAGATGAGTGTAGACCGCAGAATCCTGGCCTGATGATGTTGATCTTCTGTGCTGGGCCATCCTTTTGGCCAGTAACTGTTTAGTTTTCCCGATGTAAGACTGATCACAGCCCTCCTGACACTGAACAGCATACACAACATTACTCTGTTTGTGCCAGGGGACTGGATCTTTGGGATGAACCAGTCTTTGCCTTAATGTATTTTTGGGGTTTAAAAGCCACTGGGACGTTGTGTTTAGAAAATAAACGTCTCAGTTTCTCTGATACTCCTGCAACAACAGAATGAAGTTGAGTCAGGTCCTCTAGATAGATTTTCCTTTGTTCAACAAAGAAGAATCTGTCCAGAAGGCCTGACTCAGCCTTGTTAGATTCATCTACCTGGATTATAGAGCATGCATCAGGACATTATGAACAAGACTATGAGTGTGCACAAATGGTTGCATTCATTCAACCTTTATTTATACAGGCTATCCTCATTGAGCCACGGGGACTCATTTGCAAGAGGGACCTGTGCATGAACAGCTGCTGTTCCAGTTTGTTCTGTAGTTTTAGCAATTTAGTGAATGCTTTTTCATAAAATTTGTCTTTCAGGACTCGGCTTTCACATGAGTTGAAATTAGCTTGTTTTGTTCGAGCCTAGTTTAGCGGAGATGTAGGATTTATAGGTTTCCTGTTTTATGCAGGAACTATTTGGAAACAGTTTATAAATGTCCATATTTCTGTGGCTTAAACTCAAATGTTTCTTTTGTTTCTGTGCAGACATTGTGTTCCTGCGTTCCTGGTATCCAGTTAGTGTTCCTCAGCTCTACAACCCAGTCACCTCCCTGCTGCTGCCTCCCACTCAGAAGGACAGCTGGTCTGGCATGAGAACCCTGGGGCAACTCAAAAACGATCTGGGCATCCATAACAAACCCAAACCTGACTCTCTGTACAAGGTAGCGCCCACTCAGCCCGACACGTCTTTGAACACTCCATGAGTTCTGTCACTGTTTCCTGTGAAATGTCCTACGAGCTGATTTGCAAATGCTCTTTTTGGTGCCTTTAATTTCTAGCCAATAGTTCGCGCCAAACGTCTCTTCAACGTCCTTCACATCCCCAAAGAGCTTCAGAAGGCCCTCCCGTTCAAGAGCAAACCCAAACAGCAACAACCTAAGGGAAAGACGCCCAGAGACCTCCAGAGACCCAGCGTGATCCGAGAGCCCCATGAGAGAAAGGTGAGTGATATCTCACTCTTTAATAGGGACGAGAGATGTGTTCAAGCACATCACATTAGTTTGCTTTTATTTTTAAGGCATCAAATGTATGTTTTATTTGATCACACAAATCAAACTCAGCATTTTATTTGATAAAACATTTTAATATTTAGTCAAAGTTTGATTAACAAATCCACTTTTACCCCAGAAGGATTCTTCAACAAATCTCAGTCTATAAAGGTTAAGTTAAATTACCTTGTTGTGATAATGCTGAGTCATCATTCACACTTTTTTTTTGTCTGTACATTCTAGATCTAGACATTCTACAGACTTTGTGCTACTTCAGTCTTTCATACACCAAAATGTTCAGGAGATGATCGTTGTTACTTTAGATTTTTTAACCTTTGTACTTTTCAAACTTATCTTATAAACATCAGTTGCTTTAAGAAACCTTGCTCAGAAAATGTAAACCGGGGCACCCTCCTGGAGCAAGGCCCAGGGGGAGGAGAATTTTCAGCAAGCACCTGGTGGTCGAGCCTTGGCTCCTGGGACTTGGCTTGACTCAGCCTGAAAAGGAGATAAGATGTCACTCGCGAGGAGGATCCTTGAGGTCTGGTGCTATGCAAGCCGGTTGGCAAGAGAGGGTCCCTGGTCATGCCGATTCGTGGCAGAAAAAAGTAGCTCTAGGGACATGGAATATCCTCTCAGTGGCAAGTGAGGAGCTGGACCTTGTGAGTGAGGTTGAGCGATGCCAATGAGATATAGTGAGGCTCATCTCTTTGCACAGCTTAGACTCTAGAACCCAACTCCTGGAGAGAGGCTGGACTCTTGCCTTCTTTGGATTGGCTTGGAGGGAGGCGTCGGGCAGATGAGGGGATACACTCAAGCCCCCAGCTGAATGCGTTGGTGTTAGAGTAAATGAGAACATTCTCTCTTTGGCTTCGAGCTTCAACAGGGAAGATTCTGACTAGTTTGTGTTAATGCACCAAACAGAAGTATGGCTTACCAGGTCTTATTGGAGTCTCTGGATGGTGTCCTTGAAGGGGTGGAGATTCTATTGATCTCCTGGGTGATTTCATTGCCCATGTTGGCAATGATGGAGTTATCTGCAGGTGGTGATTGGGAGTATCGGCCCTCCTTATGTGAATGGTGTTCTGTTATTGGGCCTCTGCGCTAGGCATGGTCTGTCCATAAAACATTAAAAATAAATAAGATAACAACAAATAAACTGTTTGAGCATAGGGTGGTTCATAAATGTACCATCTTGGGACAAAGGTCGATGATCTATGCTGTAATTGCATCCTCAGACCTGTAGTCCTATGTCTTGGACACTTAGGTTGAAGAAAGACACAGAGCTGTCAATTGATCACTATCTGGTGGTATCCGGTGGTAGAGAGTAGCTGCTGGACAGACTTGGTAAGCCCAAGCACAGTGAGGGTGAATTGCGAATGTCTGAGGGAGCCCCTTCTCTGTGGGATCTTCAACTCGTGCCTCCAGGGGGAGGTTTTCATGTGTCTGGTGGATGTCAGAGACATAAAATTGGAATAGTCTGTGTTCAGGGCTTCTGTTGCAGGTGCCGCTTACAGGAGCTGTGGCCTAAAGGTCATTGGTGCCAGTTGCAGTGGCAACCAAAGGACACACAGGTGGACACCAGCAGTGATGGAGGGATCTGAGCTAAAGGAGGCCTTCAGGACTTGGCTGTCCTAGAGCTGACAGGTACATGATGGCCAGAAGGACTGCAGCTTCTGTGGTTGTGGATGCAAAACTCAGGCACGGGAGGAATACAGAGGGAAATAGATGAGAACTTTTGGTTGGCCTCAGGGAGGTTCTAGTAAACATTTTGGTGATTTAGAAAATGAAAGCAGGCCCTGTCCCAGGCCATGCTTGGTTTGAGTGGGGAACAGCTGACCTGGACAGAGGATATTATTGAGCGTTGGAAGGAGCACTTTGAGGTTCAACATGTCCACCTTTGAGAAGGCAGAGTCTGAGAACTTGGGTAAGAACATTGGCACAGAAACTGTTAATGGACTCTTACTTGGAGTAAGAGTCCATTAACATGGCAGAGGTCACCAAGTTAGTCAAACATATTCGTGGTGGCTGGGTGCCAGGGGTGGATGAGATTCACTCTGAGATGCTGAAGGCTCTGGATGTTGTGGGGCTGTCATGGTTGGCATGTCTCTCCAATGTCCTATAAATAAATGCCTGCGGAGCTGCAGACTCGAGGTTGTGGTTCTCGTTATATTAAGGTTTCAGCTCGTGATTATTTTAAACAATTTATTTTTTATATTTGATCATTTATTGATTTACATTTATCACAGTACAGTTACCATATAAACAAGCTTAACAAATACAGATAACCAAAACATTGTTTTTGTTGTTAAAATTCTGTGTAGGGTTGAAATCTGCATATCTTTATAACTACAAACACTTAAATCGGACACTCTCACAGAGAACATGGTGAGTTTCAAGCTTCAGTTTTTTCTCATCAGTTCCAAAAACTTTGGCTCTTGTCAACATGCATTCTGGCAAATTCCAGTTTAGCTTTCTGGTGTTTTTTGGTTAATGATGGAGCCTCCTGGGTATTCTTCCATGGAGTTCATTATGATTCAAAATGTTATTGGTGGAATGGTTCAGCTTGAATGGTTTCCACCATCCACACCATACATCTGTACAGCTCCACAACTTTGTCCTTGATCTGTGTGGAGGTTCCTTGATTTTCAAGCTATCTGTTACTTGGTGGTAGACCTTACTACTTAAACGTGTTGATTCTTGGGGCTATCAGAACAGGTGGATCAGATCATTTGACTCTTTGATTGCTCACAATTGGATCTTTTTTCAATCCTGTGTCTTCTGAAGATCTGGCTTTAAAGCAAATGGGGTAAAAAAAAAATGGGGTTGAAAAACCATTCTACCTCTGTTGGATTATCCATCCATCATCTTCCAATTATTTCAAAGTCAAGTTGTGGGGGCAGCAGTTTGAGCAGGGAGGCCCAGACTTCTCTTTCCACAGCCACCTCTTCCAGCTCTTCTGGGAGGACTCCAAGGCGTTCCCAGGCCAACTGAGAGACATAGTCTCTCCAGCATGTCCCGTGTCTTTCCCCAGGATAACATTTAAGTAATAACAGAAATAACATTTAAGTTATGAACTAAGAAAATTACATCAACACTAAGCACTAATAGCATAAAACCATTAGTTCAAACAGCAGCACGAACATGAGTCTGTGTGAGCACATGAGCACGAATGAACACAGCAACATGAAACGGATCAGCAGCAACATGAAACGGATCAGCAGCAATATGATGTGATTTTTCACAGTGATTATTCTGGTTAGAGATTCATGAGTCTAACAGCCTCAGGGTAGAAGCTGTTCCTCAGTCTAGTGGTTCTACACTTAATGCTCCTCAACCTCCTTCCTGAGGGAAGCGGGGCAAAACGTGTGTGTGCTGGGTGAGTGGGGTCCTTCATGATACAGGTGGCACTCTTCCTGCATCTAGAGGTGTAGATGTCTGTGATGGTGTGGAGACTGACTCCCAACATCTTCTGTGCAGCCTTCACCACTCTCTGCAAAGCTTTTATTTCTGCAGCTGTGCAGCCTCCATGCCACACGTTGATGCTGGAGCACAGGATGCTCTCCACTGCACACCTGTAGAAGGAGGTGAGGACTGAGCTTCCCAGACCAGCTTGTCTCAGCCGCCTGAGGAAGTAGAGTCTTTGATAAGCTTTCTTGATCAGGCTGGTGGTGCTGTTGCTCCAGCTGAGGTTGTCATTCATGTGTACACACAAGTACTTGTAGCTGGAGACCACTACAACATCTGTGGCCTTATCAGAATAGTGTTGCTGATAGACACTGTACCATCACATCAGAACTTTGGAACTTTCTGAAGTGTCCATGGCCAACTCACCGCCTTTGTTGACTTTCTATGAATAAATGTATTATGATGTCATTGTATGTTGCTGTACATGTTGCAAGGTCTTTTTTTGCATCTTTTACACTGTGCCCCGGCCAGGACATTGTTTGAGATATGATTTTTTTTTTTAAACTTCCTCCACCCTCATGTTCTCTTTTCCTCATCTACTCTGTATGTTGTATGTAACAGGTCTCTCTTGTAAACGAGTCCCTGAGGCTCAATGGAAACTAACCTGTATAAATAAAGGTTGAATGATTTTTTTTTTTTTT